CCGCATAAACACATTTCATTACACCAAATAATGTTCTTTTTAGCAGCATCATATGACCCCTTTAAGTTGTGTAAAGACAGGCTAAAGATTAACCAGCCTCTCCCAGTGGAGCTATGCCAGTATGCAGTTCTATCTCTTAGAAATCTGCAGCATCATAGAATATGACTTCCTGTTTGAGGCTCATGTGGCAGAAACACTTTCACTGCCACTGCCAGAGAGTCCTCCTATTTTAATCAACACAGCTGCTTGATGCATTTGGTAAAGTCAAGGTATAAGTTAGTCCTCGCATTTTGAGTTGTGATAATGTAGCCGAGTACTATCATTTTCAAATGTTTTTCTTGTTATGGTTCCCTGTTATCTAACATACACCGTCAGACTTTGTTTTGCCTACGTCAAGAACCCCTGTGATGGGTTTAACTAATAGCAGGGAACTGATAGCAGGGATATCTGAAGTTGACTCAAACGTTCAGACAAAACACAATGCTTAGTGGCAATAAAAGCACACACGTTAACTTAAAGGGATAGTTCATAACAAAATAAACATGCTGTCATCATTTACTCACCCTCATGTCATTTTCAAACCTGTATGACTTTCTTTCATCTGCTGCAGAACACAAAAAAAGTTATTTTCAAGAATGTTGGTTACCAAACAGTTTTGATTATTCATAAAATAGCCTATATTATTTTATGTTCCACAGGATAAAGAAAGTCATTCAGATTTGGAACAACACAAAGGTGTGTAAATGATTTTGGACTATCACATTAATTCATATAACCTAAAGTTAAAGTGCTAGATGTTGAGATTTTAGTTATTTAAGCTGCACTCCGTAAGTGTTGCCTCTTTGTCGCCATCTCTATGTGAAACCTGCAATTGCAGTTATTTTTCGGAATTATCTTCTTTACATGGGTTGTGCATCGGCACGGCTCCTCAGCGCGGATGAATCTCATGTTTTGAGGAGCATGTGTGGCTGTCAGTCAACGCACCAGTGTGAAGTATGTCCTGGAAAATGTCATCTGAACAAGTAAGTAACACGTCTGCCAGTTTTGTTCTGACCAACTGAAAAAAAAAATGTTTTAAGCCTACAATAAATCGCGCTACCAATGGTGATTAAATCTAACGATCAAAAAGTTAGCTCAGATCAGTCAAAAGGTGCAGATTATTATTGTTATACTTTGTTCTCAAATTGTTCATGTTAACATCAACATTGAACATCTCTAATTGTCATATTCTAATGTCATCAAAAGAAATTCTTCTTTTAACCTCAAAAAGCAATTTCATGTTCCTTAGAACTTGTTCTAAAATGACAAGCTTAATTATTCCAGCATATATTTCATGAAAAAGCACGTAGCTATAATGATATAATTATGTCAATAACTTTATCCCCTTTAAGTATAAAATGATAATAAAAGTAAGAAATTAAATATGCTTGTTATCCATGCCAGGTTTTGGAGGTTTTATTTCCACGGCAATAAACTACTTCTGTGGTAGATACTCAGGTTTACAGGATAATAGCCTTTATTTCCGTTAAATACAGTTCTTAATACATTTTACCGTTCACTATTTCTTACATTTAAACTCTTTTAACCTTAATTGGAAATGTGGAACAATGGCGAATTCTCTCTTTTCTTTCTTGTTTGTTTGCAAAAATACTAGCTTTTTATTTCATACATGACCTTAAATAGGCCTATTCAATACAACTACAGGTTTACAGGATAATAGCCTTTATTTCCGTTAAATACAGTTCTTAATACATTTTACCGTTCACTATTTCTTACATTTAAACTCTTTTAACAAGCATTTAAAAAGTAAAAATTAAACATTTAATCGTTGCGAAAAGATCGTTTCGGTGACTGTCATCGCATCCGTTTGCTTTGCATAAACTAAAGGGTTAGTTCACCCAAAAATGAAAATTCTGTCATTAATTACCCTCATGTCGTTTCAAACCCGTAAGACCTTCGTTCATCTTCGGAACACAAATTAAGATATTTTTGATGGAATCTGAGAGCTGTCTGACCCACCCATAGACAGCAACGCAACTGAAATGTTCCCAAGTCCAGAAATGTAGCAAGGAGATCTGTAAAATAATCCATGTGACATCAGTGGTTCAACCGTAATTTTAC